TTTTACTCTAGTTTTTTGATAGCCCCGCCTTCTAATGCCACGTGACTAAAATCTCGCCGGCTTACGTCATAACGTTGGGATATACCTTCGGTAACGCGAGATCTCGTCAAGTCATGTGCCATTGCTCATGGCCTAATTTCCATTAAAAACATGGGTTGGTATAGGAAACGTTGGAAAATACTTTTCGTAATGATCTTTGAAACATGTTATTGATACCACCTAGTGCATAAAGAATAGATCTTTCGATCCATGTGCGACATGTGTGTGAAAGTGACGATTTGTTTCTAAAATATCAGTTTGAAGTGCGCTCCGGGCACGGGTCGCATATTTCCCGCATATTATAGAGGGCCGGAGTTCTGACGTTAATCGACGACAGACCGATATGAAAAAAGTCGATAAAACGTCAGAATAATTCGGACTAGCTTCTTGCCAAACATCGTTACACTGGAATTATTGGTTATTCAGAAATGAAAAATGAATGTTTTTAAAAACAAAATGGTGAACTTTGACCCAACAGCGAGCTTTTTATTTGAAATATTTTGTATGAATATGTAATAAGAAAAAGTTAGATATGGAAATTATCTATAAATAATAAAATCGCACGAATTCTGTACAATTAACGGTTTTCGAGTTATAGCGGTTTTGAATATATCAACATATGACGTCATGGCGGCCATTTTGTATTTTTGACCTACTTGAAAATGTTGCTTGATCATCTTCACACCTTGGCCTACAACATACCTAAAAGACTATAAGCCTATCTTATACCAATCAAAAGATACAGACTCCACAAAGTACGGAAGAAGAATGATAAGAATAAGAAAATGTATGTCATTTTAAGCGATATTTGACCCCATAGCGAGGCTTTTAACTTGACACATGTCATAGGAAAAAGTTAGCCCCGACTAAGATCTACATGATCCACATAATGTTCATGCAATACAACGAAAGCTAATGAAGTTATGGTCGTTCTAAAAATGTTTTAAAAAATCGATTTTTAGATCTGTGACCTTGACCTTTGGCATTATGATCATGAGTTTGTTCGCACTGTATGTGTACGTTGTACTCTATCACATACTGAAATATGAACGTCATATATCTATTCGTTCTTGAGATAGAGAAGACACAAGATCTATGTAAATACGAATAATAAGGAAAAAACATAACAATAACAATAGGTATTTCCATCCGAAATCGAAATCCCTAATAATATAAACTATAAATATGAAATATAAAAATTATTTTACAACAATTATGAAACAAGTTATTTTAACTTATATTAATTACTCCGGATGTTAGCGAGGGGGCGGGTAGTCGACCAGGTGACCCCATACCTACTCACGTCCGATCGGGGAATCGACCACCGGCCGCCTTGGTGGAAGGGCAAGTGCGCTATCCACTGTACCACCCGACCACCCTAAATGTAAACTCATTACATGAAACCAAACAGACAGTGATAAGTTAAAGCACTAGGTAACTTTGAACAGAATTGAATTACAAAGAAATTGGGATTTATATTACAAATATATATATTTTAATTGTAAATTCGGTGCCAATTCATATTGTCATATATGTACAAAAATATATAGGTCTGTTACGGAGATAATGATTGTAAAATTCCTCTTTAAAACAAATAATGTGGATTTTTCTCTACAGATTATCTTGAAACTAACGCAAAAACAATCGGTAGTCTTCCCTACCGTAACCACACATAAAACAGCATGCGACCATACAATCTTTTATAACACTCCACTTATATCAAAATATTAAGAGACAAAATATACCTCCGATGTTATATCATGGTCGTGTAAAATGTTCATTAAAAAAATGCACGATTTCCTCAATATTTTTTTTATATATGTAACGCTAACAAAAAACAAAAATTGTTCTTATCAATAAAAATACCATCTACCATATGCAGAACTGACCGGCTTCTTGTCTGGGGGATAGGGATACATATGTTGCGACCAATTCAAGTAAGTTAGTTCAAGTTATTTATTACCTTGAGCCTTTCGACCCATCGGTTTCAAAAGTGAATTTTTTGTTAAACTAACACCGAAATCTACCAGCCTCAGTAGCTCTGTCGACACGTCCATCAGATGGTTTCCGTTTCAGTAGCTCTGTCGACACGTCCATCAGATGGTTTCCGTTAAAACCGGAAAAAAGAATCTAGATGGTATACGTAGGTGCTTTTTTTTTTATTTGTTATTCAATAAGGATAGCATTGCTATGCGGATGACACGCACATTTACATGGTCATCAAACCACAGGACAGTTGGAATACAGTCTCAGAAAGTCTGGAAGCTTGTCTGACAGATATCAGTATCTAGATGAACGCAAACATGCTTAAGCTTAATCAGGAAAAGACGGAACTAATCGTCTTTTCCTTAAAGTGTCAGCAAACAACGGCTCTCCAGCTCAAGTTCGGTGCCAGAACTATTGAGACTGTTCCAGCTGTTAAAAACCTAGGGGTATACTTTGATAGTTCACTGAACATGGAGAAACAAGTGAACGCTATTGCCAAATCCTGTTACTACCAGATCAGGAACATCGGCTGTATTCGGCAGTTTTTAACTGCAGATGCAGGCAAGATTTTGGTGCACTCACGTGTTACCTCTCGGTTGGATTATGGTAACACCCTGCTCTGTGGTATATCTGACAAACTAACTAGTCGTCTGCAGAGGGTCCAGAACACTGCAGCACGGCTAGTTACTCGTACTCGAAAGAGAGAGCACATCACACCTGTGCTTTATTCGTTGCACTGGTTACCTGAACGATACAGGTCGCTGTTGTGTGTCCCAAAATCTCGAACTGTGACCTACGGAAACAGATGCTTTGGGAGGGTTTCGGCTACGTTGTGGAATAGCTTACCATCTGCTATTAGAAAGTCAAATACCCTGGCCAAGTTCAAGAGGGACATCAAAACTCACCTCTTCACGTCTGCATTTTAGAATCTTTGCAAAGACGTCATGTAAATACCTACCTTTTATTTGTTCAATTATGTGCACATTGCTTGCTTAAATGTATAAAAGTGATTGTAAGCCTCTGTTTTTTGTTTTCACAATTATAACCATTACTATTATCCATATGTTGTAAAGCGCTTTAGAGTTAATTTACAAATTATATAGGGCGCTATATAAATGTTGTATATTATTATTATTATCATGCTTAAAACAATCACCTTCACCTGTCGATGAATCTACCTAATGTCTAAGAAGGTATTAATGAATCAGTAAAACGCTATATTTACACCTCATAAGATAGATATAATGCATTTAGAATTCTAATGTAGATCAATTCAACCGTAGAAATCTTTTTAAAGCTTTAAGAATTGTTACACGAAAGCAATACAGCAATATCTAATTTGCACTTTCTATCCATGAGGCGATTTCTTTATTTGTTTTCCAGAAAAAAATGTAACTTCCTTAAGCTCTTGCTCTACTGATGACCAAAGCAGAAAGGTCGTCTCTAGGAACTTGCCCACTTGCTATTTTCGATCCGGACTAACGTCATATCTCGAACCTCGTTGATTAATAAGGTTGCCTGACTCATGAGTTACTAGCGACCGTTTAGACGCTTGTCAGGTCTTTCGAACTTTTTTCGTCTGACCCTGAAGAAAACAGGACTTTTCGACAAAATCCGACCTTTTTTCAAAGCACAAAAATGAAACTGATAAGACAGGTTTAAGAAAATAAATCGACCAACGGGGGTCAAAATTTTGGTTTAAAATCATGGCTTTTTTTGGCATTATTTTGTTGTTGTAACCATGCCTTGTTTTCAAAATTCCGAAATCTGGGGGAAACACTTCTTGAAAGAAATCACCTTCTATGATGGAGTTTATATCTGTATATGTAGGGGTGCTGTGCAGGATGAATCCACTATCCATGTTTATCTCTGACATGCCCTTTATTTTTAGGATCAGGCCATTTCTACTGTACACTGCTACCTTATCCTGACAGGAACGAAGAGAGATAACTCTTACTTGCCATCTTCAGCCCTTTGTATAGGGATTGTTTAACGATAACAAGAAACATATCTGAAAAAAATAAACGGCAATGTTTTGATGTGTGTGGTTATAAGAAGAAAAAGCTGTCACCTAACAGTTTTGTAATATTTTAATAATGATTTCAATTTCAAATATAAAATTAAGCTCTGTAAATTTATTTCACATTCCTTAGTTTTTTCATCCATCTATGACTAATTAAAACATCAGTATGATAAATTGTTTACACACACGAGGGGTCGAACCCAGGACGTCTGCTTTATATGTGAAAATTCTTTCAAGCCGTGTCGATATATTTGACTTAAATATTTTTCAAACACTCTACATCTAGGGGGGGGGCTCTTTTGAAGGTATCTGCCACATTGGTTTTGGTTTTTCGTTATTTCAATGTACATGTAATGATTCCGCTAGGGATCTAATCTGGGACCTCTTGTCTGACACTCTTCCGAATAAACTGAAACGATCCATGGACATTGGAATACACGGGATATATGTATGATAAATAAGGAAGAAGTCAATATATTCTATGCTGAAGAATCTCAGGTGAGATTCGTGGATACGACTCCGAGGAAACAGACGAGTCGCATGTTCTGACACGTCTCCGTCTGTTGATCAGTTTACTCAATTGAATAGACCGAATCGTTTGTATAACAATGTGAAATCCAGGGTTCGAATCCCGGTTTACTCTCGGTGTTTATACTCATAACACTGTTGTTGACTATATCCCGCGAGGTATGGTTTCCAGAAATTATCTAACAAAGCTTTAGAAATGCCGAAAAAATCGTTTCCATCACTTAGTAACAGTTTTTGGCAGTGATTTAGGGACCCTTAAAATATATTGCTCTCTAGCTTATTCTGTACGACTGAATGCTATGTTCACGTTCATATACTATTTTGGTAAAGAAACAATCACGAGCAAGGGTGAAAATGATTGCAAAGCATAACTATTGCCCAGAAAGGAAATATAAAACTATACAAAAAAGACAGACATTCAATCGTTGATGTTTTCGTATTTATTAACCAGATACATGTTAATAAACAACCCACGGATAGGACGCCAATTCAACGGGACCCTCCTTTAAAAAAGATTATTAAATAAATGTTATTGATCGTATCCATCACTGATAATTGAACAACAGGTAGAACTAATTACAATGGAGGTATCAGATGAATATCCCCTAATAAACGTCTGAAGAGGTGAAAGTACTAGGGAAGTACTAAGATACTCTTTTGTCATATCTTTGATATTTAACCATCACAAAAAAAGTTATATAATGTTCATTTGTTAGTATAATGCTTTTAAATGTAAAAGCTAAAATGAAACGATAACAGTTAACAGACACTAACGTTAGGCCTAGGTTAATCTTACAAGGCTACGGATATATTAAAGAAGCGTTTACTTACTTTTTGTGGTCGGTATTTTTTTTGTTTACCCTAGGAGGTGGCCGTAATTCATCAAAGCTGACTCAACTATCTGTTCAAAGAAACATGTTGAAGTTTTAAAACCAAAGATGCACGATAACTTATCGAGTATTGTTCTTTTCTCTTATTGTCTACACACACAATCATTCCAAGCGGTAAAAAAAAACCGTTGAAATAATGTCGCTCTTTAGAATTTTTTGACATTAATAGCACACAAAACAAGCTGGTCATATATACAATCTACCACTTGCAACAATTCCTTCCTTTGAACTGTCATATTAACGATCCAAGACCAACTGCACCGTGCTTTTCCCCCTATAAACAGTAACCTTCCTTTAACTTCTGTTTGGATACAACTATAGCACAGTTTAATTTGGCTAGAATATTTCCTTTGACCAGGTAGCTCAATTGAACGATAGTGTCGCAATCCGAATTCACTTTTCTTTTCAAAAATGATTTTAATCAAATCTATAAGTATGCCGACATAAAACCAGTTTCCAATAATTATTTACAGTTTTTGACAGTGGTATGGGGTTCCATAAAAGAAAAGGTTGACTATGTGGTTTGGGTGTTTAAAGTAATGGCGATTAAAAACATAATCAGATATCTAACTGGGTAGTCGGGTGGTTAAGTGGATAGCGCACTTGCCTTTCACCAAGGCGGCCGGGGTGCGATTCCCCGATCGGACGTGAAAAGGTAAGGGGTCACCTGCCAGACCACGTCCACGGGTTTTCTCCGGTTACTCCGGTTTTCTCCTACATTAAGACCCCACGCGATTGCATCCGGGCCAATAAGAGTGAATAATATAAGTTGTAAAAACTTGATTCATAATTGTTGTAAAATAAATAAAGTTTATGTCTAATACAGAGAGATTGTACCGTGAAGCCGACACATAAAGGTTTACAATTTAACTTACCTTGTCAAAATAGTTATCGTATTCCCGCCTACTGACTTCATTATCAGCTACGTACATACATGGAAATAAAATATTTATAAGACAGATTACAACGATATTGTTATTAAATATTATTATGCCTCAACTTTATAACAGCGTGTCTGATTGGATGATACTGGTCACATGGCGTGTAAATAAAACATCATGTCGCCCTCAAGCGCTCAAGTTTCCCCTCTCATGTTTCCCCTATTTGGAACCTATCTAGAAAAATATACAAAAGCCACCACAACATTCTGTAATCGGGGCAAGTTGTTCCGAATGCCAACACAACTTAGTTCCGATTGACGGAAGCAGACGACAATAATGGCGCCTCAACCTGATCATATCTACTATTGTGTTACTGTTCGCTTTTTTATTTTATTTTGTGGCATAGTACAACATGTATTGCCCTTACTTTAGGGAATCATGGACTTTTGCTTCCTTTCTCTTCGATTCAACATGTTTGATTTGGGTTTCGACCTCTTGAAACATGATTAACATCGGAGAAATAAAGAATCGTGTTTTCCTACAGTTATGGCAAAATTGTATAATATTACATAAAGGAATGAGATTATCACTTCCTTCCTATGACATTGCGACTCCTTTGTGGAAATGAGTAATGTCTCTAAAACATTTTATCCGTTTAAAATATCCACAGAATATAAAGTTATTTCAAAAATAAATATGTGCCTGTGGAGCCACATAGTATTTAGTATGACCTTTATCTAATTACCATTTGTATCCATAACAGTGTATTCGCCAAGGATCGCCGAGCGGTCGAGATATCCGTCTCCATCGTTGTCAAGTTCTTGGAACAGGACTCCGAAGAAGGGGTTATTTCCGCCTGAAGCAACGTATTCTCCCTTGCTGATCCTATCGTCGTCTGGATATAAAAACTACAGTTAAAAGCATAGTGAGTCAAAATCGTGTATGTCACTCAAGACTCAAGAGGAAATATCGGAGACAGGAAGGTGATATGATGGGTTATCTGCGTAGACACAATCCGAAACATTTCCATAAATACTTTGCAAGACGAAAATCTAAAGTATCTCACAAAATTTCTCTTGCCATTTTTTTTAACCATTTTAAACATCTAAGTAATCAAGTAAATATAATAGGTGACACAAATTACTCAAATGCTGACGTAGATATTGAAAGTAATGAATCTTGTATATTTGATGAATTGGATAAAGAAATTACCGAACATAAAGTGACTTCTGCAATACATAATTGAAAAGAAATAAAAGTTTTGGTGAGGATAAAACATTAAACGAACTATTATTCATTGATTGCAAAGAGATACTAGTACCATACATAACTAATTATTTTAACTCAGTTTTTCAAGCAGGATTTTTCCCAGAATCTTCGTCAACTGGGTGTATCACGCCAGTAAATAAAAAGGTGATATTGAAAACACGAATAATTATAGAGGTATTACTTTAGTTAGTTGTATGAGAAAGTTGATTACATCAGTATTGAATGGGCTAATAGTGTATTGGGACACCGAAAATAATATTATAACGGATGCTCAATTTGGTTTTAGGCCTGGATACTCGACTGTTGATGCTATATTTGTCCTTCAGACATTAATTAATAAGTATTTAAGCAAAAGGGGTGGCAGACTATATTGTTGCTTTGTAGATTATAAGAAGGCTTTCGATATAATTGAAAGATCTCATTTGTGGTGTAAATTGATAAATCAGGGTATACGCGGGAAAATGTTACGAATCATACAATCTTTATATAACTCAGTGAAATCATGCATAAAGCATAATGGGGTTTATTCTGACTATTTCACAAATACGATTGGTCTTTTTCAGGGTGAAATATTGTCGCCGATTTTGAACTCCATGTACGTGAATGATTGTGAAATACATTTTATCAAGGAAGGATGTCCTTCAATTGAACTTAATTTGATTAATATTTTTCTGTTGATGTACGCTGACGATATGGTTTTATTTGCAGAAACACCAGAAAAACTACAGGAAGTTATGGATGCTCTGAAAGTATAAAATAACAAATATAAGCTTACATTAATACAGAAAAGACGAAAATACAAAATGTAGTAGTTTTCAGGAATGGTGGCATAATACGGAATAACGAAAAGTGGTTGTTAATCAGTTTAATTACTTAGGAATGCTTTTTAATTATAATGGTAAATTTAATGTTACACAAAAACACGTTCCAGAACAAGCGAATAAGGCGTACTATGCAATTTGTAGCAAATAAAAAAATCATAATTTTAATATTGAAACACAATGTGCAGTTTTTGATACATATGTAAATAGCATTTTGAGCTACAGTGCAGAGATAATGGGATTTCATAATGCTTTAAATGTCTAGAAAATACATATGATTTTTTTTTGTAAACGGCTACTCGGAGTTAAAAAGAGTACCTGTAATAGTTTAGTATATTATGAGTTAGGAAGGATGCCACTGGCAGAAAGTAGAAAGCTTCGAATAATTAAATATTGGTTAAAATTAAGAGCTACAGATAATACTATTTGAGAAAACCTATCAATAACTTATACAAAAAGTACTTAACACGTTTTAGACTAAGCTCACATAGTTTAAATATTGAGCAAGGCAGGTACAGAAATCAACCAAGACACAACGACTTTGTACATTCTGTAACGTTAATGATCTTGAGGATGAATTCCATTTGATATTTATAGGCAAATTTTATGATGATTTTAGGCATGAATATATTAAACCTTATTTTTACAAACGACCAAGTGTTTTCAAGTTAATAGAACTGTTCAATACCAAAATCGTTAAAGATCTAAATAAACTAAGCAAATTTTTGCATCTAAGTACAAAACGACGAAATAATATTGTTTAACTAAATATAATACTGCATGTTCTGTATGTTATACCCACATATGTGTATATTGTGTTTTAATAATCTATGTTATGCATTGTACACTATTGCATCCACTGTAATTTGTGTTATACATTGTGATATTTTGTACATATGTATGTCTACTCTCCGATGTGTTGTAAACATAAGGAAATAAAGAGTGACCAAGTGTTCGAACCCCAGTCTGAACCCCGCTGGAATTTTACACTCAGAACTGCTGTTGATTATACTTTGTTTATTTTATCTTTATGACTTAAATCCATTTAAGGTATGGGTTTCTTTCCAGAAATTAATTATCGAAGATAAATATATTGTCATGTCGGATTAAGCAATGTCCAACACTTAGTTACAGTATTAGACATTGGAACGGATATCCTTAAAGAACTGGTGATATGATACATTTTTTTTTATTTATACATACTGTTGTAATCGATCAGAGCATAACTGGCCACTAGTTCGCCTAGTTCCATTTTACTGTTGTTGTTGAGGTCATTAGCTCGAAATATGGTGTCCACTGCCGCCAGTATGCCTGCGTGGGAGGTGTCCTGGATGTGAAACAAAAGTTAATATTAATTAAAAATTACTACACCAAGAGGAATTCCATAAATAATCTTACTTAAAGAAAAATTCTTAAAGAACAATTCTTAACAAAGGGGTCTTTTGTACCTTTATCTCTTCTCAATATATTTATCTTCGATATATATATCTATCTCCTAGAAGAGATGAAAGTACTTAGGCTCGTTGTTGAGCATTTTTCTTTTTACATCATTTCTTCGTCCGTAAGGATAATTTTTCTGCTTTTATAATATATATAAATCTATTTTCTCATTATTTTCATGCGTGTGAGTACAATATGACAATTCATCAACACAAAAATAAAGGTTTTTAGATGATCTTAACACACACACACATTTAAAATATTGTTATAGATACAATTTGCCAAAAATGAATCGCACTGCATCATACATCTGTCCTCCTAGGGCTCGTCAGTGATGCTAGGCAACCAAAGAGATGGAAATCTAAAATGTCTTCACCAACGTAGAAACAGGGAGACATGTGCACGAAACCCCTTCACTCAATCATTTCAAAACTCTACTAAGATGTAAAGAAAAAATGATATGGTTAACTTACGACCACCCTGGTGTTCGTTACTGCTGCAAATGACGCGCTCAGTCCGAGAAGGAAGATAATTCCAGTAAACACATGCATTCTGATTGTCTAGAAAACAAAAAGTGAGGAAGTTAAATAAACTACCGAGTATGTAAGTATGTAGGAGTGTACAGTAGAGGTATCAATTCACATAAAATATCGAATCGTAAATATCTTTTAACTTTGGAATGATTGTTAAAATTAAAAACAAAATCGTTTTTCCGAAACAAACCTGAAGAATTAACGTTGAATCAATGACTTCACATGTACATTATAACAGACAGTTAAAGGATGAAAAACGTTGCGCAATAAAAAATATACTAAAACTGAAGCCCTTTTAATTGAAAACATATTTTATCACAATTGGACTCTACAAACGATTGATATTTTCCCGAACCCAGTATTGAATACTTACCATATTCCTGCTATTGTCTCGCTACAAATCGTGTCACTACCAATAAAGTCTAGGTAGACCAGGACATATGAGGTTTTCACATGACCTTTCAATGAACTGTTCAGAGGGTCGCTGTCTATATCGGTATTTTGCGGTGCTAAGCATCGTGAAACAAATTATGTAATAGTGGTGTAGTTTAGAATAAATGTTCTTCAGGGCTGTAGTGATTAGTGTAGATAAGAGGGAGATAGTTGAGACGTTTTGATCACAACACTTGAATTCACATAATTCAGCTCTACCCTGGTCACGAAGCGCAGTTTCCACTAATCTTTTGACATCTCTTAAGATATTAATGCATTCTTTCTTACCTTTACTTGTCTGATAGTCAATCAGCCAACTAGCTTAACCTGGAAGTAGAGTGTATACACTGTTTTTGGGTTGATTTGGGTCACCGAGTCGATAAATAATAAGAATCGGCTTGATGACACCCTGTCACCTTTGGACATTTTTTTTCTAACAAGCATAAAACCAAAATGGCTACTATTGTTGAAGTAAGGGTCCTATTTCTACCATTACTTCGGTTTTCCTAAGTAGAACTGAAAATCGTCAGATATAATATGACGATTTACGCACTTTCGGATACGTGCCCTCGGTGGCGTCAGTATAAATAGCATACATACTGTACCTACAAGGGTGCATTGGGGTAAATTGTATTGTAAGAACACTTCGTTGCTTTGGATACGGGATCGTTATGAATATTATTTGCTATGAATTGATCTGTAAATATGAAAGTGGTTTGAGATTTAACACACACAAAAAAAAAGAAAAAAACTTCTTACGCTGAAAGCACACAATTAACCTAGAATGAGAAACCACTTACTAGAAGTTTATAGGAGCAATGGAATTTCATAATGTGCAGTCCGTTTTATCTAAACTTTTAAACGCATACACCAATATCTTGTCAACAAAATGGAAACGTAAATTGGTAAGCTTCATACTTTAAGCACGAAAAAACATAATGATGAAATTATTAATTTTTCGTTGGTTGATCAAGAAAAGTTTTGTTTAATAACATTGTAGAAAAAATATAACCGACTATCTTAATTAATAAGGACTAATAATTTTAATAAGGACTAATAATCTTAATAAGGACTAATAATCTGTATAAGGACTAATACTCTTTATAATTACAGTCGAACCTCGTTATCTCGAACTCGTTTAACTCGAAGACCCCGTTTAACTCGAAGTGTTTCATCGGTCCCGGCCTAAACTGTTCTTAATCTTAGTAATAAAAACTCTGATAGTTCGAACTCTGAAAACTCGAATAACTCGGATATCTCGAAGTGAAATATCGGTCCCAACAACGTAAATCCTACATAAAAATATCGCTTACCTCGAAGTTTCTTAAGATTCACAAGTCGATCATATATTCTTTAATTATTTGATACATATTAGACGCAGTGCTACGGTAAACATCGTTCTCATAGAGCAGCTTACGCTCGGTCATAATTACTTCGATTAAACTTATTGTATTAAAATGTGTTTGACTGTAAAAACACTTTGTTCAAATAAAGAAACAGACTTCATCAATGTAGATTAACAACAATTAGTACTCACTACTTATTGTAAGATTTATATCTGGTCTGCATTTTTTAAATTCTAATGAAGCTGAATTCATTCAATGTTCAAAAAGGAAATATGATGTTTCCAGGACTCTTTGATTTCACCCTAAAATATAATAATATAATTGCCGATCTAATACGGCTTTCGAGAACTAAATGTGTTTAATATCTACCAGAATTTGACATAACAGACACTGCATGAACCTCATTTTTATCTTCATATCGTGACTAATGATCAATAGTATGGACAATTTACTCAGCGACAGTTGAATTTAAAGCAGCTATATTTCAGCCCTTATACAGTTAACATTTCACGGCTGATTCGCTAGTCAAGGATCAAACCAATACCAGGTAAGTCAAATTTGCTGATCAATGTGACATGGTAAAAAACGAAAAAGGTTCTTAATTTTAAGAGAAAACCTAAAACATTGACCTGAACTTAACCCTAAAAACAATACTAGTTTCAGGTAAATTCAGGTCGAATTCACTTAAATTTTAGAGTTCCCAACCGGTTCGGCGTTCAAGACTTTGGTCCGAATAGACAGTAATGTCCTCCGTGATAGCTGTTGACTGATGACGAAGGTTGATGAAGGCCGTGGATAACCTCCGTGATAGCTGTTGACTAATGACGAAGGTTGATGAAGGCCGTGGATAACTTCCGTGATAGCTGTTGGCTAATGACGAAGGTTGATGAAGGCCGTGGATAACTTCCGTGATAGCTGTTGACTGATGATGAAGGTTGATGAAGGCCGTGGATAACTTCCGTGATAGCTGTTGACTAATGACGAAGGTTGATGAAGGCCGTGGATAACTTCCGTGATAGCTGTTGACT